ATTAAAATAACCTTTTAGTGCATCCTTTAAAAACCCTGCTGCCACAAAGCAGACATTATACTCATCACGCAGCCCTAAATGAACCAATTATAACAAACACCTGTCAACACATCACATTCAGCACACTTCTACTCAGAAAAGGTGTAAATGCATAAAAGATCAATATCTCATGAGGATTTTAAGAATCAATACTAGGTCATTAAAACAAAAATACACACTTAATCAGATAAGATGTTCAGCTACTAATATTCAATTACAACATACATGTATTACTTGCACACTGACTGACTAGGAAAACTAGAAAGGCTACAGGAGGGAGGTCTACAGGCAGATAGGTGTGGTTAGAGGGGGTGGTGGTGGTGGAGGCCCAGTGCATCCACTAGAGGGCGACCTCTGACACAATGACAGGGGCTTCTCCATGGCTACACACCTGACCGCCTCCTCTTCACTTGTATCAGTAGGTGATGACAACAGAGTCAACTGGGGAAGGTGAATAAATGGAGAGCTGCAAGCAGACCCACCAGTTGGCTCCTCTGCAGCCAGGCACAGCAGCAACTGGGGCTCTACTGGGATTTACATGTCAAGACCGAGAGGAGGACTGCTCTTCTCACTCCAGCATCTGAACCCTCCAGACCATTCACATATTGCAACCAAGCCAAGACACAACCTTGGTTATGGAGCAATGGGGAAAACTTTATGTTTCTTTGTATTCTGGTGATGGAAATCAGTCAGTGTTTGACTGATAACATCTCTGGTCACTGCAGACATGAGAGTTTTACAATTCTTAAATCAAGCACTGGAGTTATTTGGTTTCTGAAACTCTTCTTTCCCCACAAGGATTTTAATTCATGCAAATCATGCTTTTGACACCTTGTGTATTACACAATTTGATATATGTCTGATATCTTTTTACCATGACTATTTATGATATTTGAAAACGAACAACAGCAAATCATATTTTTCACCTGTTGTGCTGTTTATCAGTCTAGATTGTTTTGATGTGAGTTTGAGTGTTGAAAATATCAGCCGGCACTAGACACAGACACAGTTTCGTGTGGGAACTATGGGTGATTTTGCCTTAAATGATATAGGACAGCCACAGATAGACAGGAAAGGCGGGAGAAAGAGGGGGGATGAAGGACTCAGCCTACATAGGGTGCACACACTCTACCAGGTGGGCAGACCCAGAGGTCGCCTGTGCGAGCTGAATTTGAACCAGACCTCATTTCACAAATGCCACTTGCAAATTGTGGTTACATTTGCAAGGACTTGAAAGTATGGTATACTTTTACTCGTCAAATGTACTGAACATAAGGCAAAAGCAAATCATCTCTTGTTGCAAATTGCAGGTAGCATGCCAAACTGAAAAATGGCAACGGGGACACTGCAGATTACGATTAGATGGTCAGTTCACTGGTCAGTTCTTTAATGGAGCATTGAGGCGATTCTTGAAATACCGTGTGACTATGTCGTATTTACCAGAAAATGGCAGTCACTGATAAATGTGTTACAATAAGTGCACTTCTGCTGCCGAGTCTAATTAATGGCAGCCGAGCATAAACTGTTTGTTCATGTTATAAGAACTGACATACTGTTGACTACAGGGCTTTACGGAGAAACGGAAGTTATGTCAATGCTGTATGAGAATGTAGGTATTCTCTACTTTTCCATTATAGTTTTGGTGACGCCTTGAAAAGAAATGTTGAATCTTGTAATATAAATGTTGGCATCAGGAGAGGGGAGAAAGTATTTAAACTTTCTCTGCCATTTATAATAACTAGTTTTAGTCTTTATGAGATTAGACTGCAATGTCTGCCTCGTCTTCAGGCCTTCTGAAGGACCCTCTTTTGTTGTTCTCGCCCTTTAGGAGTATCAAACCGCTGAACTGGGACACAGCTGTTACTTGTTCATCATGACAGCCCCTCTGATTTGATTTTATGTTATGATGCTGCCATGCTGTGTGTGAGCATGTGTGTGTTTTCTAGTTGTTAATGATAAAAGACACAGATTCAATTTCTAGGAGGGCAAATATAAGATTTGAGGTAAAAATCATTTTTGCACCACAAAACCATGTTACCCATTGTACACAGCAGCAGCCGCAGACAGTCTCTGAAGGAAGACGGTGTGTTTTTGTTGAACTCGACACACAAACCAACACTACACAAACACGTAGGCTGCACCCACACACGCGCGCGCACACAAACACAAACCCATCTAAACATCCTCTCTCCTTCGTCTCTCCATCCCACTGTGCCTGCACACTGAGGGAGATTCAGTGGCCCGGTTGCCATGGAAACCAGGCCGAGTGTACCAGCCAGCTCTACCGTTGGCTGATTGTGGCTCTCGTGTATTTGTGTGTGTGCGTGTGGTGAGTGAGTGTGCACTTGCGTAGGTGTGTGTGAGACTGTAAAGCCTATACAGGGCTCTACTTTGAGTTGTTGAAGGGGAGGCTAAAATGGGCTATATGTTCAAAAACCTATAGGGTGCCTGTATGCTTCTTTTTCAGTGATTAAAGCTATTTTTTTTTATCTTACCATCTACAATCTATTCATTAGTTACTAAATCAATTTTTGGGCTTATGTGCAGCATCTCGACTGTTTAAAATCCCTGCATCTTTCACTGCTAGCCTTGATGAGTGAAATGCTGTGCAATAGCATGAGACAGGGGAGGACATTTATCTGGGGAAGCGTTAAATCATCCTTACTACGGGTAATGAGTTCCTTATACAGTGTGAGCGATTAAGAATCCTGCCTAACCCGCAGGCCCCAGTGCACGTGGTCCTCTAGCAAGCAGAGTCAGAGAGTTAATGAAGGACAAGGCAGTGGGAAGGGTTATGTGTGTAGGCGAGGATGCAGCTAACCTTTAGAAACCACGGGAGAGTTTAGCTCCCTGTGTTCACCGACAGCGATGGGATTTTTTTTTTCCTTCATTTTTTTCTAAAGCAACACCGGTACTGAACAGGTAAATGTCATTCAGCACAGGGCAAATCATTTCCTCTCATAAATGAAGAGGTCAGATGGAAAAGGGGGGCTCATTTAGCTGTCACACAGCGTGGCTTTGAGAAATGTCATGACCAGACAGGACTGTGGTGCAGGTCGCGAGTGTGTGATGCTTTGACCCCGCCTCCTGAATGCCCTGAGGACAGGAAGTGTTCCTGAGGCTCCTTGACCCATTCTTGGCTGGAAAATGATGCTGGACAACTGACAAATTTCACTAGATCCTTCTGACGGAGCCAATCAGTGCATCTACATCTACATGTGACCCTGGGGTCAGGGTCAGAGGGGAGTAGTGCTGGGTGAGTCGAACACCTGGGGACTAATAATTGCATCAGAGCCCCGCAGGAATCTCTGCCGATGTCTCTCAACTCCAACTCTGTGACAATAGATCGGTGTAGCTGTAGTCACCGGGTTTTACTGTTGTTAGCAGAGATATTATCGAAGCCATTTCAGTGTGTGAGCTACAGTGTAGTGTGGGGGCCGCATGTGACAAAAACACAGGTAACGAGGGGAAGATACAGACAAGAAAATAATGGGTTTCACAGTGGAAGAAGCGGCAAAGAACTGCGACGTGGCAGATGAACTAGGCTATAAATTGACATAGTAATAACAGTTAACAGCTAATAGTGGGGCAAGTAAAACTACTCAAAATTATAGTAATATCAGAAAGTTTTTAAAGATTACACTTGTTCCTTCAGCCTCCTCTTTGCATTCTTCAGACCCTCTGCATTTCACTTTGAATTATAAACCTCATAATTGTTTAATGGTAGTTATATTTACTGCTGGAAGTGAGCTTGGTCAGTGTTTCTCCTATATTCATACTGCAGCGGTGCAACGCCAGGAACAGCAGTGGCTCGCCGCCATGAGTCCATGAACGAGGCAAGTGTCACTAATGTGTTTTTAGCTGAGCTAGACCTGGGAATATTTGGTCCTGCTCTGATGAATTTGGCATTCAGTTAACACACCAGTCATAATTTTGTCTGAATGAAAACTCCTGGCATTTGCTCCTGGTGTTCTTCACCACTGGTTTGGAAGAAGGAAATAACGAGAGTAACACTGAAACCAGCTTTAGAAATGACAGATTTTCTTTTAAATAACTGCTGAGCGGTGAATCTAATTTAAGCAGACGTGAAAAGTGGTTCATGTGGATTTCGAAAAATAGCCCAAATGGCAAATACTTGGAAAAGTAACTGATAAATATCAAAAGAAACTTTAAAGTGTGGGGTGGGGGTAGGTGGTGGAATGAGTGTCTCCCTCCGGACAATCTGCCAGGGCATAGCAGTCGACCTTGGGGAAACACTGATGTCAGATTAATTACACAGATTTCATTTCCGCACTATTAATGATGCAAATTATGAAGGAATAAATGAGCTTATTCTCCAGAAACCTCAAAAATGTTTAGAGGATCTGAATCCAGTTGAGGTGATTTTATTGTTTTGGAATAATTGGCTGATAATTGATGGGTTACGTGTCATTTCTAAGAAATACATAGAGTCAAAAGGCCAAAGGTAAAGTCTTTGTATTATTTATTTTGTCCAATTAACAGTAAAAACTCATATATATGTAATGATTCACAGTACTTTTTCTTCAATTATATAAAACATAGAAAAAAAGTACCTCCTTATATTCTGACAAGCTGAAAATTGTGAGTGTTGATTGTTGATAATGTACCTAAATGATTCGTCATTTATTAAAACTGTCAGTGGCTACTTTTATGTTGATCAACTTATCAGTTAAAACACAAATAATGTCAGTCCTACTGCATACATCTTCTACTTCCTGTATGTGAATTGTAGAAGTCGGATGTGAGAGAAAGTCAAAAATAATGATGAGATCAAACTGATTTGGTATCTTGATAGGGAGCAGCTGAATTCCCAGCATTAGATGACCTCACTTCGACTCCATTAAACTTTCATATGCTTCTTCATTGAATAAAATGAAGCTGAGACTCAGTCTAGCACCTGGATTAGCGGTCTGGAGGAAGGATTAAGTGTGAAATGTTACCTGTCGGACAAAGCTGTTCGAGGTGGTGTCAGAGGAGGTGCTTCCATCCGAGCGCTTAAATCGGCTCTTCCTCTTGCCGTACTTTCCCTAGGAATGGAGAGGTTGGGAGGGCAGCGGAAAGGAGGATTTGGAAAGAAAGAGAAAAACACAAAAAGTTTAATTGCGTTGCACTATAACAACTTATCTTGACATATCTCATAGAAAACCTTGTTTCCGGGGAGCATGGCAGCAGTTAACATTTGGCTTAGCATTTGTAAAAGCTTCTGAATATGATCAGGCAGTCAGATAGAACCAGAGATAACGCAGCACGAGGCCCCAGACTGAAGAGGAAGTCGAGCGGAGTAAATGTGTGCAGCGCGTCCACAAACAGCCTTCATTACTTGTCATTTTTCATGTTCTGATGCAAACTGGGACCTCGTAATCTGATTGGCAGACCCCTGGCAAATGGCCTACCCGGGTTGGGCAGAGGCCACACATTGCATTACGATCCCACCCTGCCCACGTTGCCATGGTTACACAATGCTGACTAATCGCATTTGTTGGGAGGGTCATCAGGAGACTGGCTGTGTTGCTCTTTCAGTGCTGCTGGTTAATAAAATGCTTAGAAACAAACATAGAAGATTAACATACAGAATGTGTACGTGTTGCTGCATTTACAGGGCCTACCTAACACTTATATATATATCCATATATCCCCTGGGGGTATAGCTCAGTGGTAGAGCATTTGACTGCAGATCAAGAGGTCTCCGGTTCAAATCCGGATGTCCCCTGCTTTTCTGTCACATCTCATATTTCAATGTAGGAGGCTATAAACAGCACAGACTTAAAAGGACCTCCTTATGTTATATACAAAGACAGCATTTCTTTCCTTCCAGACTTCTCCAATTAATTGATTGAATGCAATAAATCAATTAAATGAAGTTTCCTAAACACAAGGTAACATATTCAAATTGCTTGGTTTGTCTACACAGCTGCCCAAAACCAAAATATATTCACTTCACATCAATATAAACATAAAGAAGTAGCACATTTGAGACACTTTTTCTGTCAATCCAGCCAACACAATTTCAGGACAGTTTGCAGCTTGAAACTTGCTCGAGATACTGCTGCTACTTTTGTCTAAACTGTATATGTATGTAGTTGTGAGGTAGTTAAAAGTCCAGATTGATTTGTTGAAAGTCAGCTGTTGTGTTCAGGTGTTGGCTGGAAACATGGTACTGTTATCTGTAACCAAACTGCCCTAACACTGACATGGGGAGAAATCAATGGCTGTCTTTAAGGTAAAAAATAGTTCCCTTGCATGAACTCTATTCTCTTTGCAGGGATGCTTCAGTAAGCACTATCTGTCTGAACTGTTTGGTGTCTGTCTTTATCCACAACTGTTCTCACACTCAAACACACGCACACACACTGGTAAACTAACCAGCCCCCAGTCCTCTAACCTGCCCACACACACACACACACACACACTCTACACCTATGTAAACACTGAATATTACCAAGCAGCTGCTTCAGACCTGTCCACTTCCCTGCGTAGGTTAACAACCACCAACAGTGATCCCTCCTCAACTCAGTACTTTGTTATCACCGACACATCATGTAGAGCAGGCCGAGGCCTTTAAAACAAACAATATCTGTATCACCAGCGCATAAAAACACAATGCGGCCGAGAAGCTTCCAGTTAACAGATAAAGAAGAATAATCTGTTACACGCTCCTCTCCAAAGATGGCGCACACAGCAAACGAAGTGTGATACGCCAAACAACAATTACTGTGTTGCAAACTTGTGCAAGTGTGGTTACTGGCTTTTAATGTTAAAGTTGAACTTGAGGTGATGATGCATGAGAACAGATGTAGACAGGCAAATGTGCTTGGGGCTTAGACGCAATTGATACTGTGAAAAATAGATGTCATCCCTCCTGGCAAATGTTGCCACCTACACCGAGTGAAAAAGTTAGAAAATGCTGTGTGCGCACTGATGACTGTGGAGACAAACTCTAAGACACAGGCTCTTTTGTGTCTCTGCACATTGAACATTAAGATGGTGCAAAAGAAACAAATCACAGTATTTGCCCACATGTTTGACCACGTATATCAGAATATACTATCTAGATAGAATTAATTGATTCTGCATTTATTATGGTCAGACTTAAACATGCAAATTAGTTACACAGTTCTTTTCAAGCTTTGATTTGGACTGCAGGAAGAAGTGGAATTCAGTTATATATCAATTTGTTGGATGACTTTTCTTCTGAAAGGGTAGATCCACCATTTACAAGTCTGTCACATGCCCATATGTATATTGAAACCAAATATGATGGATGTTATCATTCCCTTCCTAATGTACTTGCAATGTCAGAGATGGAGAACAAAATCCAAAGTCCTCGATCTCCGAAAAAAAAATGTATAAACCATTATGTGAAACTAAAATGCGGTTTCAGTAGCATGAGGCAGAAAACATACCAAGCAGCAGCAAAGTGCAGCTGCTCTGATCTGCTGCCTTTTGATTCTGCGGCGAAGTTCAGCCAGTTTGGGAAACTTTTAGTGGGTGAATTGCAGCCAGCGCAGACTACCCACAGCCAATCAGTAAACGGAATCCTGTGACTCTTGTGTGCCTGAACGCCCCTCCCGGCCGCAGACACATATTATTATTGCGGCGAGATGCACTTCGCCGCTGCTTGGGGTGTTTTCGGTGTGAGATACATAGAGGGTATCTTCAGGAAGTTACAGCCTAGTATAAGATTCCCTATTTTTGTTACCCTAGAAATATAAAGAGGGAATTTTACACTGAAATGCACAAACAGTTAAACCTTAGAATATATGTTTGTACAGAATGAGGACTGTGGATTTTGTCCTTCACTTTATACATTGTGCATTTGGGAGGGATGTTTTAATGGCCAGGATGAACAAAAGGAATGATTACAGCAAGTAGAATATGTTTCGCTGTGTTAATGGGCACTCGCTATTGTTTTAAAGGGATAGTGCACCCAAAAATGAAAATTCAGCCATTATCTACTCACCCATATGCTGAGGGAGGCTCAGGTGAAGTTTTAGAGTCCTCACAACACTTGCGGCGATCCAAGGGGAGAGTGTGCAGTGCAGTGCTGCTAGCTACTTCTCCCTTGGATCTCCATAAGTGTTGTGAGGACTCTAAAACTTCACCAGAGCCTCCCTCTGCATATGGGTGAGTAGATAATAGCTGAATTTTCATTTTTGGGTGCACTATCCCTTTAAGAAAGACTTGAAAAAATGTGAATTTATCCTTTAAGAGAAAACTTTGATTTTCATCCAGGTTTGTATCATGACAACGTGGGTATGTGTAACTTAACTATAGCTGACTTTAGCTGAGATATGCCTCTCATTCTCACAAACTCAGATTAAAGATTCTGTTGTTGCGTTGCCTGTTTCTCACCTAAAATGTTTTCAGAAACAAATTTTAGCTCATTGTTTAACTGTAATGCTAGGTCATTTGTTACCAGCTGGCTGCCATATTGTTTCCAGTGTCAAAACAAACAAGCACATATTACATTACATATTATTATTAGTTGCAGATTTTCTACCTCTTGAGCAAAACCGAATGCCACAGTTCTTTTTCTCTGCCTTCTCTGGTCATATGGCACCAACCTCAAAAGTATTTGCATCTTTCTATCGATAGGCAAACCATCTTTCCTGCAGTGAAATATTTCTTAAAGAATGTAGCCAAACTGTAAGATGACATTTACACCAGGCTGAGATCATCACCTGAACCAGACTTCCTTCAGATGTCGACAGGCCTCGCATTCTGATCATATTCCATTCTGCTGCAGACACACTGTATGTGTTTTTCCTTTTACTGATAACACATCCAGACACAAACCTCATGGTAATACCGGGTGTAAATGGGGTCTTTACTCACCATCTTAACTGCTAAGATCTGAGCAATCAAACAGGTTGTAAACAAACCCCCGGTTCAGCTGTTTATTCAAAACCAAATTATTTGGAATTGAAAACCAAGATAAATAAAGTTACAAAGATGTTATCCACAGCTGTGTAACATGCAGGATGCTCGGTTAAAGTTTAACTAGAAAGTAGCTCTGCAAAACCCGATCGTTGACGATGGACCTTTAAAGTAATTGTTTTAACGTCCACCTCTGGTTTCATTTCAGTTTTCATTAGATAACACGATCACACTGTGGATGTTTACCCTGCTGGAGATGCTGCTGTGCCACCAGATATCTCAGCAATTAAGCCGGCAAATAAAATGTTATCGTTACAGATAAGACACCATGGCTAAATCACTAAAACAGGAGCTACGTTGTTAAAAAATGTTCCTTTGAGGCTGTTGTGGTGAGGCAAACTTCACTGTCACAAGTTTCACAGTTACATTAAACGCGATGTGTGTGGGTGCAGGTAGGTGTGTGGGTGTGTGTTTAGAGGGGTCTCTACGATTGGAGCCGTGATGGGGCGAGTTCCTGTCAGCAAAGGGCAGGGAAATGCCAGAGGAAGTAGGGAGGGGAGGCTTCCTGTTGGTAAACATCCTCCCAGATTAAGTGTGTAATTAAAAAGGGTGTTGTGTGTGAGCGTGGAGGGTGGCGGGGTGCACGATATCACGACCACATTACACTCTCCATACATTATTCCGCTCGCTGAGATCGCACTGATCTGCAATCTGACGGCGGTCAGCAGACATGATCTTTAATCTAAGCGACCCTCGGGCGTTGAATTTGGAATCGGCTCTCAGCCCACATTTCATTTCTTCTTCTGTGGTAAAACACTCAAAGCGTCTCCTCCAGGATATTAGAAATGCCTGCTTGTCTCTTCACAGCAGAGTTATAAATACATATACCAGCATGACCCGCTGCAGGTCTGCATGAACTTTATATCTAATTGATCAGGAGTGCCACACACACAAACAAACACACACACACACACAAATACACACACACAACATTCCCTGCTGCCTAGCACATGGAGGGGGTCCATCTGTTTCTCACCACAGCCTCGCAGCTGATAAATATCTAATTTCTAAAAACAGGCAGGACGAGGTGAGATGGTGAGAGCAGGATGGAGATAGTGGGACATTCAGAGATGCAGAAGGAATCTGGAGAGCTGAGGGGGAAGAGAGAGAGAGAGAGAGAGAGATGAGAAGGAGCTCGGAGGAGTGGGAGTAAAGAGGAGAGAGCAGGACTTGGCATGGTTTGAAGCGTTGGTTGTCTGTGAGGTGTTTTTTTTTTTTTTTTTTTTCCTCCTTCTCCAGAGAGACAATGACTGAGCTCAGCGTGGGTGTGTTGTTCTAGATATTCTCATCGTTTTTTTTTGTTTTTTTTAAAAAATCCATTTAAACTGTTATGACTAAACATGCCCACAACATCATGACACTTCCTAACAGCCGCAGCCTATTTGTAGCTGTAAAAAGAGTGACACCACTGAAAGTTGAAGGATAAAATTATAAATGAAGGAAAGGGGAAAAAAAAAAAAAAAAGTTGAATTTCTGAGGGTGGAGGAGGGTGTTGGAGAATATTTTCCGCGGACTGAAAACAGGTCTGGAGTCAGACGCAAGACTCTGAAAACCAAATTACAATTGCTGTTTACATCAGTTTCACCTCTTTTTGTGACTCATGTTTTTTCACATGAAGTAATCTCTCCTCCTGCTGGGAAGTTCAACATTTAGTGCATCATCTACTTGGTTAATTAACGATTACTTAAACAAAGGGTGGTTTTCGTTATAGGACCCAAATTTAGGGCTGGGTGATACGGAGAAAATAAAATATCATATTTTTGACCATATACATTAATATTGTTATTGCAACAATATTGTAGGGTTGACAATTAGTGCTTTGACAAAATATTTACACTATCAGATTTTTAATAAATGATTATTTAATGTGGCTATAATGACTAAGTGGGTAAAAGCAAATAATAGAACAGCTAGAACAGTCTGGTAAGGTCAGAAAATGACATCACTTTACTGTAATGCGGCCTTTAAAAACAGGAAAAAACACTTATACTATTAAGATACGCGAAATCTAAGACGATATCTTAACCGATTTCACGATATCGATATAAATCGCCAAATCGCCCAGCCCTCGACCCAATGAGGGCCAGCAATAAAAACAAGCGTTACATCATATCCTCACATATGGTTCCACATATGGAGACTTGTTAAAACCAACTATATGCCAAGGATGAAATTATAAATCAAAACCACAAGAACATATAATCTAATTTTGCTTCCCTTTATTCTCAGATGAAATAGAGGCTTGAATCAGTGCAGCTTCACCAACATTTCAGACTCCCGAAGGCGCATTAGACGACTTAATTGCCGAACAACCTGTTAATCCTCAGAAGTGAAACAGCTTCACCGTGATGAAAACGCCTCTCTACTATCAATGCACGACACTTCACGCAGTCTTTTTGTTTTTCTGTCATGATATTTCTGCCCCTCGCTTCTTACCTGTGTGTGTGGATGATGGTCGAACATGTCCATTTGGATCTCCTGGGTTGAGGTCGAAGGCGTCCTGGACATACTACTTTTCTGTACCATTGATTTAACTTTTTAAAATCTATTTTCAGTTTCGTGTGTTTATGATGGTGTCGACAGACTCATCTTTTTTTTCTGTTCCAGAGAGGGTGAAGCCGCTGATGTATCTGAGCTGGCTGGTAAAATAATGGCAACAGCTGCCTCCCTCCAGCCTATAGCGTTATACACTGGCGCACCAGGCTTTTACACTACAGTCAAGTCAACGGTGTGAAGCAGCCACACATCCGGTTACTGCTTTCAAAATAAAATTCCTTGTAAAGGTAAAATAAGCAGTGAAGTGACTGAGAGGGTGTGGTTCATATTGCACTATAAGGAAGATGTAGGCTACTTATTTGTTTGTCTTAAAATAACCGTTTGGAAAACATAAGCCTATTAATGTTTATAAAATGGTTTCTCTGACCTTCCGACTATGTTTCCAGAGTTTAAGTATACATATGACTTAGGGCTGGCACAATATCACATATGATAGCCAAAAAAGTTTACCATAACGATATTATCGCCATCTGTAGAAACTTTTAAAAAATGTTATTAATCAAATTAATCCTTCTTTACTGTGCATTTTGTCTCAAAATTTGAGTGTATGAAGGTGGACTTTATCCATAACTGTGCAAAAGAGCAATTACACTTAATGGATAGTGAAAAGGCAACCAGGTGGCGGGAAAGCAAGAACAGAATGAAATGGAAGTGATGTAAGAGGTGCTGGATCATTTACAGGATATTAATATGATATCAATATTCCATCTTTAAATATCACGGTTATCGTCAATACCATTGTACCGCACCACCCCTAATTTGACTGCTTTTTTCCCCCCTGCCTTTTGCACAATTCACATTTCAACAGAAAGCTGCAAACAAATTATTGGAAATGGAAATTTCCATCCATTTTCATCTGCTTATCCAGGGCTGGGTTGCCCTCCCTAACCACCCTGAGTCCATCAGTGTTCCCAGGCCAGATGAGATATATAATCCCTCCAGCATGTTCTGGGTCTGTCCCAGGGCCTCCTACCAGCTGGACGCATCTGCAAAACTTCTAACTGGAGGCCCTTTAGGAAGCATCCTGATCACAAACCTGAACCACCTCAACTGACCCCTTTCAACATGAAGGAGCAGCGGCTCTACTCCGAGCTCCCTCCAGATGTCTGAGCTCCTCACCCTATCTCTAAGGCTGAGCCCAGCCAGCCTTTGGAGGAAACTCAATTCAGCCGCTTGTATCCACAATCTCATTCTTTAGGTGAAGGCTGGGAGGTAGATGGACTAGTAAATCAAAAGCATTGCCTTCCAGCTCTGCTTTGATCAATTTCCAATGTGACTTTCAAAGAGTGTTAAGATTAAATTACCCCATGTCAATTTTTTGTTATTTATTCTGTACTATAAGGTGTAACAAATATTAGGCAACAAAACCCAATAATACTTGTTATATAATATTAGTGAAAGTGTTTGTCATCTTAGCTGTAATATTAGAAATAAAAGCAATAGTAGCCTAAAAGGTTACAACTGAGGCAGCCCTTTAACTCACACGCTTTTATTTTGAAGGCAGACTCCTCTCACTACCGGTGTGTTTCTGTCTTCCTCTGTCTGCCTTGACGTCGTTTTGTGTCTCCTGTGTGCGCTCGACAGACTCCAGCTGGGAGCCGAGGTCCACGCCCCGCTGAACAGACCCCACCTTCACTTATCGATTGATGGGAGAACAACAGAGCAGCCGCGGTGATGGAGGCCGCGAGTGTGGACAGATAGAGCGGGGAGGTTAGGCATCTAAAGGCTCATGCTGATGTAGTTAAGAGCAAAAACACGGAAACTCCAGGGACTATATTCTATAACTGATATGATGTTGACCCAGGGGTGGCTGGAGGAGGCTTTTCTGGGGTCCTGAAACATGCCAGGAATGGTTGATATTTAAAGTTTGAGGCCCCTGGGTGAGTCGTTAGGGGGCCCGGATTTTCTAACAATGCACTGGTGGATCAACACAGTAAAAAGAAATGTTGCCCACTGGGATTATGCTGATACAATAACATTTAAAGTTAAATATGGAAAGCAAGTATGGCTCTGTGATCCCTGTGCAGCAGATTAAAAACAAAATATGTTAAACATTTGTCTCTGGGTCAAAACAGATGTGACAGTGGTTTGTGACAGTGCCCAGAAAGTTAGTGGTTAATGACACAAAATGACTGGACAAGAATAAACAAAATAAATTAAAATTTCATCCTACTATCACCCTCAAATTTGTTGACAGGTCTTTCATGTGGCCTATTTGAATACAACTGGAACCATATTTCTGGCTGCCTGATGATTGCATGCTATGTCAAATATTTACTCACCTGTTACTGGCTGCTGTTCTGCTCTCTCAACGCATTCTCACTTCGACCTTGTCACATATTGACTTTTGTTTCCACGGCCACAAACGATGTGCAAGGTACCCTGGGTGTGTTGGTCAGTGATGTTCTGGGACACAGTGTCAAGTTCTGCCTGTTACAAGTCTTCTTTCAAAATACATTTCCGTTCGACTTCCTCTTGGGTGAAAGTCATGGTTAGTTGGACCCATCCACTACCCCTCCCACCCACCCCACTCAGACCTTAACATTTGTCCGTGCCCCGCTGCGGTTCCCGGGCCCCGACGCGGCGCAGTAAAATTATAACAGCAACCGGCCATGTATCACGCTGATGTTAAAGGATGCCTTTTTTCGTTGGTTGCTGACGCGCAAGTCACTGCCCAAGTTTCCTCAAATTTGGCACAAATGTCCCCTTGGACTCAAGAATAAACTGATTAGAATTTGGTGGTTGAAGGTCAAAGGTCAAGGTCAGCGTGTGCTCACAAAACATGATTTTGGTCTCAAGAATTCATGTGTAATTACAACAAAACTTCACACAAATGTCTTATAGGTTACAATGATAAAGTGATGACATTCAAAAGGTCAAAGGTCAGCTTCACTGTGACATCATATTGTTCTGCAAACACACTTTTCTGGCCATTACTCAATGCTATAACTCAGGGAGACATTTGGTCAGATACTGAATTGGTGACACCAATCTCAGGTGCCTAGCTCAAAACTGTGCTGATTGGGATGAGACTTTGGAGGGAGATTGGGCTCTTGAGTCCAAGGGGACATTTTTGCCAAATTTGACGAAATTCCCTCTAGGTGCTCTTGAGATATCATGTTCACGAGAATGCGGCGGATGCAAGGTCACAATGACCTTGTCCTTTGACTGATGACCTCCAAAACTGAATCAGTTCAATGTGAGTCCAAATGAATGTTTGTGCCAAATTTGAAGAAATTCCCTCAAGGCGCTCTTAAGGTACCGCATTCCCAAGAATGAGACAAACAAGGGCACAGTGTCCTTGACCTTTGACCTAAGAAAAACAAAATCTAATCAGTTCATCGCCGATTCTGAGGGGATGTTTGTGCCAAATTTGAAGAAAATCCCTTGAGGCGTTCACAAGAATGGAATGGATGAGCAGACATATGTACAGACAACCTGAAAACATAATGCCTCCAGTGCTATCACTGTTGTAGAGGCATTAAAAGGCATGTCACATACTTTTGGTAGTTTAATTCATAACAATGGATTATATTTTATAAACGGATTATGTATTTTGTATGTAAAATCTTAATTTGAGAAGTGACTGTGGCTCTAAAATAAATAAATAAAAGTAAAATAGTACAATAAAAAGTGCAATATCCTAAAATATCCTAAAATATTTATTAGTGCTGCTTTGAGTTTTCAGGTACTTTATGACTTTTGTAATGTTAATTTAAAGTATATCGTTATCAGTCATGATCAGTTGAGAGACACAAAAACTGAAACTCTTAAATTGTGAATTTAAATTTAATCATATGATAACACAAATTAAGAAAAACAGATAATGCCTTTAAATTGTTATTAAACATTAACAGTAATGACTATTCATATCTCTCATTGTGCACCCACACTGGTTTCACTGGTGATGAAGACAACTATTGACAAGATAAATACAGAGGTCACACAGATGAAGTAAACCTGAACAAACAAGGGGAAGACTCATCCAGCCCAACCAGCACAATACCATACACGTTACAGTCCCTGGTGAACCCCTTCTATGACGCAGTGATCAGCGCTGATGTCACTGGATTCAACACCCACAAGTTCATCCTCTGTGGCTGCAGCTCATACTTCCGGTGAGGTGGTTACCTCAGTAGGAGGAAGCCTTCATGGCCGTCCTCTTCAAAAAGAAAAAAAAAACAGAAACAGAAACATGATGTACTTTCAAAAATGATGATAGTTGGAGTCACTGTGACTCTGCTGCAGCAGCTGGTCCATGTCCTCCTCCAAGAAAAAAAACATAATGTGCAGCATGAGGACACCGAGTTTCAGGTTGTCCTCAGCTGCTCACTTCCATCGTCTGTGCTGTTGCTAAAGGTAACCCAGTGCATGGACAGTCATCTCAGGCAACAACTCACAGTGATGGCAAGTATAGAATAAAGTCTTGGACTGTGAATATGAGCAAGAAATTCAAACGTCAAATGACCTGTATATTTCGGTTGCTTGGTTTGTAAGTGCTGTTTTTGGGTTGTCATCTTAGTGAGCAGAATAACACTTTGGTAAAGGACAGCAGCACAAGTACACCTGCATTAAAGGACCCCGCAAATGTGGTTCCACAATGTGGCGTCCCTCTGACCCCACTCATATGTCCTCCTGCTACTCAGGGCTGTCGGTTTTGTGTCCATAGTGGGTGAGACACATGATTTGGGGGGGTTGGGAGTTCCTCCATCACAATTTTTTAAGAGTCAGACACTTTCTGGTGAATTTTCATGCACCAATTTGTGCCTTTTCTGCGTCATTTCATGGTGGGAATGTTTTTAATTTCATCAAAATAAGAGTCCTCTGTTTAACTTTAATGTTTTTATTTGGGGAGCACAAATTTACATGTTCCAAATACTAAGGGGATGTGCTCCCTGTGTCCCCCCAAAAACTATGGCTACACTTCTACTTATCGGAGAGGCTTTACTGCTGACAAATAAGTAAACCGTTCTTATACTAAACAATCTGTAAAAATAAAATATGTGACATTTTTGATGTAAGCTGCGTTAAGATGAAAGCGTATCACGGTGAAGTCCTGTTAAATTATTAACCTATGCAACAGATTCAGCCGTAATTAGAGAAAACCTTTGAAGATGTTGG